ATGAGTTGCCAAAGATAAAAATTGGATAGCACGTTTTAGTAGAGAACATAAAAAAAAATATAGTTAAATACCATTGAGATTTTGAGAAGACATTTTACTTTGGCTTGGCTTGTTTTTTAATCTTTATACTATTTCCAAAATAAAGCCGTTATAAGGTTTACCTTTTTCATCAAATTTTCTTTCGTTAGTGGTTGATGATTCAGAATTGCTTATTGAGTATTCTGTCTAAGTTGGTTCATCTTCTTCTGATCTGTAAATATACATGGGATGGTAATTGCCTAATTACCATAAATACGTAATACGTAATTATTGTAATTAATTACCACTATCCTCTTTAAAACGTAATTACGAAATTAATTACGGGCGACGAAACTAATTACAAATAACAACAAATTAATTATCGGGAATATCATAATACAAGTCATTCCCGTTATAGCGACACTCTCCGTGCAAGCAAAAAATGTCAATAGAGTTCACACTCTCCATAACGGCCCCCTCCATAACGGCCCCCATTCTATAACGCACTGTAAATCAGAAACCAAATTTTTACTATATAATATAAAAGTTTGCCTGAACTAAAATGTGATGATGCCGAAACTCGGAGAAAAAAAGGTTATAGAAACTAATAATCCGAAACTTGGTCACTTTGTTGAAACTCAATCACTGTGCCGAAACTGCGGTTTGTTGTCGAAACTACAAATGAACACTGAAACTCAATACATTGATTTGCTAGATGAATTTCCAATCTACTAGGATAAGCTCTATCCCATCTCTGATGACAATATTTACAAGTTGCTTCGTAATGGCCTTTGGTTTTTTCATCTTCATGGGTCCAAACTTCTGACAATGGTCTATCGCCAGCATGCTTTCTTTTGTTATTTGACAATTCTGGTGTAATTGATGAAATTTCATATATATCATCATTTTCTTGTTGAAAATAATTATCTAAAGTATTTGATGTTTCTTTATCAGGTACCATTATTTTAAAAAAATTTTCAAAGTAATAAATTTTTACTATAAAAATATCCCACGCACAAGTGATATATATATCACATGGTAATAAATCCAAATTATTTTCGTGGAAAGGTTATTTAATAGACGGGTTTAATTATTCATTATTAAATTGTTAATGTTAATATATAATTATTAATGTAAATACTGGCATTAATTATTGGTAAAGTGATATTATCATTATATGCTTTATGAATCATTTGTTACACAAAAAAAGGCTTGCACATAGATTTTAGTTTTAGTTTCGGCATTTTGTTTGCTTGCTTGAAAAACCGAAACTAAATTTTTTAATTTGCCGAAACTATTGCCGAAATTTAGTAATTTAGGCAAACTTTTATAATTCCAACCTCTTACTTTTTTACATATTATGAACAAATTGATAATTATCATCTCTTGTCTTTCCCTTTTTTCTAATATTATATTATTGTTACATACTTACATACTTGTGTCATCTTTAATTATCTATATGTATATATTAATCTGGATAAAATACTGCATCTACAAAACACGTGACAATAAAAATTTTATTTCTCAAAAACTGCCGTTGTGGCGCAGAAAGTTGTAGGGACAAGTGTCTTGCACCTATAGAACAAACGAATTTATTCATTTCAAGTGAGCCTTTTATCAAAAATAAAGAGGAAAAATAAATCATTTGATTAAATTTACCCAATTCATCCGTGGCATTCATTCATTACATATGAAAATGAAGATCAATTACATCATACCTCATAATAATGATATATTGTAAAATTTGCTAAATATGGAAATGAAATGAATTAAATTTCGATTGTTTTTATTTACATAAACTATAATTTATATTAAACTTCATTACATCACTAATAAAGTTAACGCTATTCCAAAAATTTATTTAATTGTATTACGACTACCCATACAATTTTTTAGGGGTTTTTTCCTAATATTTGATTAACTGTCAAATAATATAAAAATTTTTTTTTACATTTTCTTTTCCTTTATTTTTTATTTCAAGTTTTTTTTTATTACATAATAATTTAATTCGTTCTATTCTATATTTAATACTAGATTTACCTTTTTTTTCGTCATTTAATTTTAAAGAATTTTTTTTTTAAAATGATCGAGCAACTTAAAAATTTTATTCGTCATGGTAAACAGGCAAAACAAACACCTTTTCAAGAAAATCCAAAACCACTGAATCCCGAAGAAAATTTTAGAGAGAATCCAGAAGTAAAATCAAGAGTAGATGATGCAACCGTTGCTATGATCGTAGCGGAAGAAAAAGAAGAAAAAAATAAAATTCCAACGTATCCTGGTTTAGAAAGATATATATTCTTGGAAAAAATGGGAGAGTAAGTTGAAAATAACAATAATAATAATTGATCCTTTATATATATATATATATATATATATATATATACGAGACATTGAAATAAATGTGTTAGGAAAACAATAAAAAGCTTTAATTTTTAACTTCTAACTTAACAATAACCAAAAAAATTTTTTGATAGTGGCGCATTCAGTAATGTGTATAAAGTATTAGATACAAGTGAAAAAAAGAAAGTTGCAATTAAAGTGGTGCGTAAACGTGAGCTTAATCATTCACAGGTACAAAAAAAGATCAATATAAGTATAATGATGATGACTATTTTACATTTTAATGATAAGAAGAGCAATTTTTATGGATTGTGATTTTTTGAATTAATTGGAAATTGAAAACTTTTCACATTTTTTCAATTGTTTTAATTTTTACGATGACACAGTCCATTCATTCATTTTTTTATTATTCTTATTGTTATTAACTTTATTGGTACAGGAGAAACATCTTCATCGTGATATGAAAAAGAAGCCTCGTGCTATTGAGGTTAGCTAAATATTCAATAATGATGATATTAAACACAAGCGAAAGTTATGAAAAAATTAGCAAATTTTAAAAATAACATTAATAAATTGATCAAATATCATTTATTTAATAGATTAAATTTTAAAATTTAATAATAACGATGAGCATTTACTTGACTCTTTTTACAAAAAATAAAAATCTAATTTTAGTCTCGCCCATTTTTATATATTTGTATTTATTTAGAGAGCCAATATTCTTAAAGAAGTACAAATAATGCGTCAATTGAAACATCCATCAATCGTTTCCTTATTATCATTTTCTGAATCAACAGATTATTATTATCTTGTTATGGAATTGATGGAAGGTGGAGAGCTATTCCATCAAATTGTTAAACTTACTTATTTCTCTGAAACTTTAGCAAGGCATGTTATTGTTCAAGTAGCAGAGGGAATAAGATATTTGCATGAAGAAAAAGGTGTTATTCACAGGTGATTTATTGATTTTTTTTTAAACTATTTTTTGTTCATTAAATAAATATATTCATTCATTCATCTATTCAAATACTTAAAAATTTAGGGACATAAAACCAGAAAATCTTCTTTTTGATTCTATTCCAATCATCCCTTCCAAGAATCCACCACCACCAAATCCCTATGATGAGTATAAAGAGGATGAAGGTGAATTTATCTCTGGTGTTGGTGGAGGAGGTATAGGAAGAGTCAAAATAGCAGACTTTGGGTTATCAAAGATAGTATGGGATGAACAGACAAAGACACCTTGTGGCACAGTAGGATATACAGCACCTGAGATTGTCAAAGATGAAAGATATAGTAAAAGTGTTGATATATGGGCACTTGGATGTGTTCTATATACATTATTATGTGGATTTCCTCCATTTTACGACGAAAGTATTGACGATTTAACCGAGAAAGTTGCTAAAGGCGAATATACATTTTTAAGTCCTTGGTGGGATAATATTTCAGATTCATGTAAGTTATGTTATAAATTAAAATTAAAGTGCGCGTGTATAAAAATAGACCATTTATTCATTTAAAAAAACTTTTCTTAGCAAAAGACTTGGTTTCAAATCTTCTTGCAGTTGATCCTGAAAAAAGATATACAATCAATCAATTCTTTGCACATCCATGGGTTAAAGATGAGGTAATTAGATAATATATTTAATTTATATAATTTAAAATAATAATAATAATAATTATTATTATTATTATTATTATTATTATTATTATTATTATTACTATTATCATTTTAGCCATTCCAACCAAGAAAAAATTCAGCAAAAGATAAACGTATTGTTAGATTCATGGAAAAAGATAACCGACAACAAAAACTAAAACTTGACTCACCGCTTATTTATGAAGAAGTATTAGGCACACCGGGGGAAATCATTAGACGTAAAGATGTATTGTCACCAGGTATTTCTTTGAAGGAAGCATTTGATGTCGGTTTTACTATACATCGAATGGAAGAAGAGAGTGCTAGAAAAAGAAAGTTGAAGGCTATGAAACCAAATAATGCATTTTCAACATTCACTGCCAAATTAAACCCTTATACAACCGATAGTGATGATGAAAGTGAAACAGCATCATCACCAGAAAAATTATCTGTCATCGGTTCTAAAAATACCACCGCTTCTACCACCTCCAGTACTACCAGTGGTAATAAGGCTACTACAAAGCAACCGGTTAAAATGAAAACAGGAACAGGTGTTGGATTTTCTCAATCACTGGGAACAAACAAACATGCTAAAGAAACATCAAGACGTAAAGCGTTTGAGTTAAATATGGAAGGTGCGACTTTATTAGGGAGAAGACGAAAAGCTTTAGAGGCAGGTGGTATTTA